GACATAAGGATTTAGTGTATCAGCAGCTTATAATAAACAAGCCCTTTCAACCTGATGACTCCTTTCCCTACACATGAGTACTTTTTGTGTTTATAATACAAGTGGTAATAGAAGACCATATGGTTGTGACTTTTAGCTAAAGTAAATGACATTTAAACAAACAAAAACAGCATTAGGATATTCAAGGATCTGAACTATAACCTAAATACACAGTACACTTTAAGGGGCTATTAGTGTTAACTATATACACTGACCATTTTCTAAAGCTGTTCAATTAGTGAGTTTTTCAGTTTGCTGATCAGTTTTTCAAAAATATTTTCCAATATACTGTCAAACACCTTTATCACTGGCATATTGCCCCATTTACAACTTCTTTTAAAAAACACTGTATTTTTATCCTGAGAACATTTAATCAGTTCTTTCTGAAATGTAAAACTGTTTCTATTGCTCAGATCTCTGCCAATAACAATAATGATGTTATTCACATATATATAATTTTTAAAAAGAAAAATACAAGAAAGTGGGAATGGTACAAAGAGAGAGAGCAGTTCAGAAGTTATCGCAAGAAAACGATATGAATTTGTCTTGTACCCCAGTGGTAGCAGAGATAGTAGCAAGAAGTGGTCTAATTCTGATTATATTTAAAAAATACAGCAAATCCATGATTTGCTAAAGGATTGGATGTGCAGCAAAAGAGGAAAAGAATCAAGGAAGACTCCAAGATTTATAACCAGAGCAAGCAGAAGAATGGAGTTGCCATTGCTGTGATGGGGATATGTGTGGGAGGAGCCAGTTTGGGAAAGAAGATCAGGAGTTTGGTTTCGGACATACTAAGTTTGAAGTGCCCATTGTATACTAAGGTAGAGATAGTAGGCAAACTATTAGATATATGATTCTGAAGTTCAGGAAAGAGGTTGTAGTTGATATAAATTTGGGAGTTAAGTTAGGTAGTATTTAAAAGCATGAGACAGGGGGGCGCCTGGGTGGCTCAGTCGTTAAGCGTCTGCCTTCGGCTCAGGTCGTGATCCCGGGACCCTGGGATCGAGCCCCACATCGGGCTCCCTGCTCCGCGGGGAAGCCTGCTTCTCCCTCTCCTACTCCCCCTGCTTGTGTTCCCTCTCTCGCTATGTCTCTGTCAAATAAATAAATAAAATCTTTAAAAAAATAAAAAATAAAAAAATAAAAGCATGAGACAGGATGAGGCCACCTAATGTGTGAGTGTATATGAAGAAGAGAAGAAGTTTAAAATATGAACCCTTAGTTACTCCAAAGTTTGGAGGAACCAACAAAGGAATCTCAGAAGAAACAGAAAGATAGGAAAAAAACCCAGAGAATGTGCTGTCCCCAAAACTAAGTGAAGCCAGGTTTTGAGAACAAGTATTTCAAATACTAACAACAGGTCAAGTAAAATGAGGACTGAAGTTGACCACTGGATAGATAACAGTTGGGACCCCTGACAAGAACTGTTTCAGAGAAGTGGTGGGGACCAAAACGTAACAGGAATGAGCTCAAGAAAGAATATGAAGTTCAAGGCAGAGTCAATGAGTAGACACAACTCTTCCCTATAGGAGGATGTAGTGTCAAAGGAGTTTGTTTATATGGTAAATTTTATAGCATATTTGCTAATAGGAACTTAATATATTGCAAAATGCCTAAACTATACCACAGTTACACCATGGATTAAAATCATAGCCCTGGACTATCACACAATGTTACCTTCAGAAAAATTATAAAGTGTTTTTCTCCATCTTTTCATTAACTTTATAACAAAATTTCACTATATTACCTGAGCCCTGGCCCTATTTTCCCTAGGAAAATGGAAACTACACTATATAGGTTTTTACACTGCATTTTGCCTACTGTGCAAATCAATAGGATAATGACCATTCATTTTTTGTATTTCCTATTTGCTAAATGCTTCTATTTCCAACTAAATTATTTTTGGCAAATTAGTGGCTTTTAACTTCAAACTGAGGAATTCTTATAGTATAGAAAGGGAAGTTACTCAAGATGTTTGAGCTGAGTATATATTTCTTTTGAAAGTCACAAATTAAGCTCATATCCTAGTAGCCAATGCTTAGCCCATAACCTAAAGCAAGAATTACTGGCCTCAATACCATTGAAATGAGCAAAACCCACTGCAACAGCACCTGATAGGGACTGCTCAGTTTCCAAATGCTTAATGTAAAAAATAAATCATGGTTTGTTAAGTATTGCTACCACATGGACTTTTAGAACTCCAGACTGAATAAAATGGTTCCACATCACTTAACCAATGATCTGTTTATATTCTTTTTTGCCAACTTAGGAACAATGCTATTTCTTTCATATGCTAAACTCTATGTTCTAGGTTCCAAATGACAATTTTGGTGTTTTCTTTCCGAAACACCTACTTAGGAGAATTTTTTTTTGGGGGGGGCCTGGAATTCAAAACACATTTAACATTCATCACCTTTACCAAGCAGCTCAATCAAGATCTGAATAGTAATGTCTTCATCATAAACAACAATGATTTTTCTATGATGATACATCGGTAAAGGAAAGAACCCATTTCATAAAATACAGCACCAGTGTGCTTCAGAGATAACTGAAAAAGGGAACCCTCTAGAGGAGGAGACCGTGTAAAGGTTTGGATATCTCTTCAGAGTGCTCCAAACTTGGATGAATTTTTGTTATAAATCACCTTGATTAATGGAACACATTTGCTACAGTGGTTCTATAATAACTACACAATTCTTGTTGCTTGAAAAACCCAGCCTAGAAAAACTGGTGGAGGCAGGGAAGCCTTCAAAAAATCACTGGCTTCTCTTTTAGGACCAATACTGTCCCTGATCAGAAATAGTTACCTTTCTTTTTTAAAAATAATGAAGACAAATATATTTTAAGGGAAGTACAATTTGATGAGATGGGAGTATAAATAATAATAATAATCAGTAGAGAATATTTTGGGAGAAGTAGTAGTAGCATGGTAAGGAATATAAATTCTCTATGGAGCCAGGCTACTTGTGTTTGAATTCCAACCTTTTTTTTTTTTTTCCACTAACTGTTTGAAACTGGGCAATCTGTTTAACCTACCCATTGTCCAGTTTTCTTATCTGTCAAATACTGTCACTACCTATGTTATTGGGTTGCTGTTGTGATGATTATAAATTAACCCTTGTGAAGAGTGTCAACAGTATCTGGTACAGATGAAGTATATAATAAGTGTTGGCCAATAGTATTACAATTATGTCTGTCATTTATAAACATGCAAACCAAAGTGATTGGAATATACCTAGAACAATATAGCAGTGTCCTCTAATTTATCCATTCATTGAACATAAAAATTCAATGAATATTTTCCTTAAATAGAATATTCAAAAAAATTTACATCGTATACTCCTCTGATTGTCTTCTCGGTACTTAGTAAATATCTAATCCCCTGATATTCTTCCTCTAATAACTCTTAAAAAGAAAACAATTGTGTGGTGTTTAAGGACACAGATAGCAGATGCCATTACTTACATGTTTTGTTGTTCTACCTATTGATAATGGGTATGTTCTGCCTATTGATACTTCTACCTAAGTATATGCTTGTTGCTAAAACAACTTAAAAGTGACTAGAAGGTCTCATGAAATGTTAACAGTCATATGAAGGTGAAATCATTATGTAAAATTCTGACATTTTTGAAGAATAAAAGGATACAATGTCCATGATGAAGGTCATAGAAAAAATAGATTACCTGATACCACACTATCACCTTCAACATTATCACCATCAGCTAACAATTACTAGTATATTTAGCACTGTGGTAATAAACAATAAAAGCATTTGCACTGCTGAACCATAATCTATTATGATGGTACAAAAATAATAGATTTAATAATCTATTGATCAAACTTACAAGGCAATCAGAGGCTATTATAGTTCAAAATAAATACACAATGATCAAGACAATTTAACTCTTAATTATTTGCTTATATTGGGGATGAAAATAGAGGTAAAGTTAGTTAACGGATCTAACAGCTGCATCAATAATTTGAGGGTGACACAGAAAATTTAAAGAAAAGTAAAAAATTGAGTTATAATTATTAAAGTAAGACAAGTATATGCTGAGTAAACAAAAGGCCACCCTCCCCTGCCATAAGCTCTGTCATGGCAGCCATGTGATCGGTGAGAGGAGCTAAAATTACATCTGCTCTTCACTCGTCCATCCTGCTGCTCTTGCTTTCTTTTTCTAATTGGATAGTCAAGTTGACTAGAGCAAGGTATATACAATTTCTAGCCTAAAAATTTAAGTAGGATTTAAAAAGACTAAACTATAGACTTTGATTTTACCATATTTGCCACTAATAAGTCAGTGGAAAAATTTTCTAAGCCAGGATCCCAGATGGCATTTAGCTGGCATGTTTCCTTTGTCTTCTCCAATCTAAGACAATTTTTGTCTTTCCTTGTTTTTCATGACCTTGACATTTTTGAAAGAGTTTTAGTCAGTTATGTTGCAGAATGACACTCAGGGTTTGTCTGATATTTTCTCATGATTAGACTGAGGTTACACTTACTTTTGCAAAAATATCACAAATGTGATGTGCCTTTCTTAATGCTTCATTTCAGGGGCTACATTATGTTGATATGTCTTTTTATTGGTGAAGTTAACCTTGATCACTCAATTAAGGTGGTGCAAGTTTCTCCTCTACCAACTACTATCTGTCCCTTTGTAATATCTTGAAAGAGATACCTTGAGACTGTGCAAATAAACTATTTTTCTCAAACTTTTGCCCAAAATTTTGACATCCATTGGTGAATCTTGCCTGCAACAATTATTGAGATATTTATATAGGGTTTTAAAAGAAACTAAAATATATAAAATATAATGGCCAAATTGTTCTGGATACAAATATACTTAACTTCTACTGAATGCAGCATTTTAACATATTCAAAATGTGAATTAAAGTTATTTTCTTTTGTCAGTGTGTTCAGTTAATATTAATCAATGAGTAATAATTAAAATGTTACTTACATAACTATGGCTTTTAAAGAAATCTGATGGACTATTGGTGAGGATTTTGTCTCCTTCCAAACCAATTACTCTTTTACAAATGTTTGATTTTGGATCACTTGGGCTTTTTGCAATCACAATGTCACCTCTGAGGGGAAAAAAGTCAAAGAAAGGTCAGTGTTATTTATTAAACATAAATACATGGATGGCACTGCTATAATATTTTTATAACTTAAACAAAGCCACACCCTTTATCCTCTCACATATTGACCCTCTCATATATTTACCAGCTTTGAGAAACTTCTAAGTTTTATGGGTCAGAATCCAACAGGAGTAGTGGAAAAACTATTAGAAGATTTTAAAATTTCTGGTAATTCCATAACAACCATCTTCTGCACTTTATCCACTATGTGTTACTTCTGTATCTAAATTTTTAGAACCAAAACTATAGAAAAGCAATTCCACATAAGTACCACCAAATTAAGTAAATTTTACTGTCCAGCCATTAGTACTGATTGACTCTAGAGCACATAAAAACATAGGAACAGCATAAATATTTCCCTAGAGCTCAAAGAATCAAGGAATTACAGCATATAAATAACAAGATAATTTACAGTATAGTCAAAAAAACTTCTTTTTGAGGAAGAATATCAGAAGACACAGCCAAATAAAATGCTAAAAGCTGCCCAAACGTATACTACAAAAAGTAAATTGGTATATCAAACATAGAATACCAACATGGGTATGAATACATGTAGAAGGCATGATTCATGGAAGAAGTAACAATATACATGTATTAGAAGAAAAAGAAAGATCTTTAAAAGTGTAAATGAAGGAGACAAAATGGAGGAAGGAGACAAAATAGGACTAAGCACTCACCAAACAGAACACAACACTCTTTCTGAAAAAAATGAGTAGTAAGTGAATTCTGTCGACTAACACACATATTTGAAAGGATTTAATTGTCTATATTATCTGTACATAGTTCCATAAATAATTTGATGTTACTTATAATAAAAGGTGCATATATCAAAATATCAAAAGCCATAAAAATAAAAGGAAAATGACAGTCAAATCAGAAACCTAGTTATCGCTACATATAAGTATTAATAAGAGTTCTAAACCTTTTGGTAGCCAAGTCAAAAATGAAAATCTGATTAATTACACAGGAATGATTAACAAAATAAAGTTTAGTTTGGGAGGTAAAACAAAATTGTCTTAAACACCTAAATCAAAGAGGAATATACAAGAAGGATTCTCATGTAAGGTAATAAAAGACACCATCCTCCTCAGAAATTTTACAGTAATAGTATTCAGGGGAATGATAATTTCTTGTGGTTAGAGTTGAAAGCTATTAAAACACTAAATTCTATATTTGCAGGTATTATAAGGATGCCTTTTTTTTGAATTGGGATAAACTAGTCTCTTTTCAACCAAATGGAACCATGCCAGTGGAACTTTCGGATGAACAAGTTTGCAAAGATTATTACATACTAAACAAAGTTGATTTTGGCTAGCTTTGGGGAAAGAAATGTTTTCTGTGGGTGTTTTATTCAGCTTTCATTTTTTAACAAAATAATAAATATGATCCTTAAATTCTGCACTTACATGGCAACATAAAAATCATAATTCAGCCAAGGTAGCTTTTTAAAAATATTTAATTATTTTAAAAATTTTATTTATTTATTTATTTTAGTTTAGGTAGGCTCCACGCCCAATGTGGGGCTTGAACTCACAACCCTAAGATTAAGAGTCACATGCTCTACTGACTGAGCCAGGTGCCCCTCAGTCAAGGTGTTTTTACAGAAACCAATATTTATGCAGACTATACTTCTGGTGGTCTAACTAGATATATGTATAGAGCTTAGATCAAAGTAATTATTCCTTGGTTTCTCAACTCTTTTCAAATAGGGTTTTAAAAGGAACTTAATAGAAATTTTCCTTTCTCATTTATAGTTATAAACATGCTTATTATCCAATTAAATTGTAAGCTTTTGAAAAGGGTCAATATCTTACTCATCTTAACATTCTCTGTACTGCACATCTTATAAATTAGGTGCTCATTAACTATTTGGTGAAAGAATAAGTAGTAATAGTAGTAATAAGAGACTCTATTTTAAATATGAGTGTTCTGTGCATTTAACTGAAAAGAGATCCATGTGCTTTAGATACCAGTTATGGAGACTTTCATTTTTCCTAAATGGATGGCTATTCTAGCTTTAGAAACAAGCAGCTAGCTAACGGATCTCTTGCCAAGGGTCAGAGATTCCCCTGAAATCTCAGGAGTTCTGTGCTACAGATAAAAGAAAAAGAATACTCAGAACAGTACTATTTTTAAAGTTGAACTTGCAAACTGACAACCTTGGTTATAAAAGTTATTTGGTATATGTCATATAAATGCCAGATTTTAAGCTGTCCTTCAATCTAAGGGGCCCCTTGACTGAACCAAATACAAAATGAAACCTTACAAGAATCTTAACTTACTGAATGTAGTTATTTGTATTACCCATCTGAATGCAAAGATTATCTATTTTAAAAAAAAAGATGATTTTGAGCTATTCATTCACCATCTATTTAGTCAACAAGTTCAGCTCCTTCTTAAGGATGCTCAAGAACTGAGAGTAAAATCATGTCAATAGCATGGAAAATAGCAGCTTATCTTCATGCTGCAGTGATGCTAGGCCTCCAGTTAATCCAAAGACTGTATGAAGTGATTTGGATATAAGTTAAAAAGAAAAGAAAGCTAGAACACAACCTGTTATGTCTTATTTTATAACCCCATAATTATCAATTAGGTGTCTTGAAGTTATGAGTAAAAGATCTGAAGGGAGAATTTTACCTAGGGACGATGCTAGACTATACAGCTTGACCAAGAGATAACTTCTATCTACAGAATCTAAAATTCAAAGAACAGTTTTACACCATTCTTGATGACTTTTAGGTAATGTGAAACAGACTACAGAAAAGGCAAATAATGAAAGAGGAGTGCTTAAACCTACTTATACCATAAGCTAAATACCAACTCTAGTGAGCCAAATTTGAAGTTTATGCAAATGAAAAGGTGGTATTATTTTTTCAGAGTTATGAAAAACTAATGAACCCAAAATTTTAGGGAATCAGGTGCCCTTTAGAAAATACATTAAATTACTAATACTTGACATTCACTCAGAAGGAATAATATACAGTTAAGTAGAATAAACAGTATCACAGGGACTGGAAACACCATTTAGAATAGGATTTTTAAAAATTTAGTTGCACTGATATGTGGAATTTGAGAAACAAGACAGAGGATATTAGGGGAAGGGAGGGAAAAATGAAACAAGATGAAACCAGAGAGGGAGACAAACCATAAGAGACTCTTAATCTCAGGAAACAAACTGAGGGTTGCTGGAGTGGAGGGGGGTAGGAGGGATGGGGTGGCTGGGTGATGGACACTGGGGAGGGTATGTGCTATGGTGAGTGCTGTGAATTGTGTAAGACTGATGAATCACAGACCTGTACCCCTGAAACAAATAATACATTATATGTTAATTAAAAAAAAAAAAAAAAAACCTTAGTGGCAAACAGTATTTGTAAGGAGTTTTTCAACTTAATCAATTGGGAGACTCGGGATAGATAAGATTCCTGGCTACCAGCTATATATGGTGCTATCGTCTAAAGATCATCAAGTGCTCATCATAAGCTGTCGAGAATAAGACAGTCATCAATAGAAATACAGTATTAAAAAATGTAAAGACCAATCACTGATTTGGTATGTAATGTAGTTCCTAAGTCCCTAGGTTCTTCACTCAAAACTCTGTAGAGCCACCCCCCCCGACCAAAAGTAAAGTAGGCTTGATCGTACATTATAAAAGGGACTGCTGTTCTATTTCAGCCAATAATGCAAGGGACACAAGGACCCAAAAGACTGTGCATGTTTACAGAAACTATTAAAATTTCTCAAACAGAGAAAATATTTGAATTAAAATTTTAACTAGCTGGCCATTAATTTGGTTATTTAAAAAAGTTTTTAAAGATAAAGTTAAACTACAAAAAAGACACAATGTGTATACATGTTTTCACTATAACTTTAATATATCTATGACAGAAATTTACCTTTGGATACCATAAAAATGTCGACTAAGATTTTCTGCAAAGACAATATCTGAATTTTGAATTGTAGGCTCCATTGATGGTCCAGAACACTGAAAAGAGAGGTAATTTTTTAATTTGAATTGAAACCCTTTTTTAATGTAACAAATTATCTGAACAGGCTTATAAGAAAGAAAATCAAACAAACGTTCTTCAAGTTTGGAGGATGATTTATAAGTTGGAAGCTGCTAGATAAGCTCAACCCTACACAGTGGCCACCAGATCTGGAAACACAGGCAAAAATTTAAAAATAGTTTACTGAGAATACATTACAATATATGAATAAAATACCTATGTTTCCAAATTTTGATCATCCTGTAAATGTAAGCTCCATGAGGTCAGGGACCTTATCACTCATGTTCCCGGTTATATAACCAATGCCAAAAAGAGTGCTTGGCATAAAGCTGATAATAAATATTTGAAAAAATAAATGAATGATTCATTTATTTTGTTGCTATTATCAAATACCCAGTGCCCATGATGGTAATTTATTAAGTAGTATCATACTATTCTCAACAAGTTCGTGCCTTGAGTTCTCTTCCAACAGAATAGCTTACTCATTTGATGGGGCTGCAACTTCATTTTCTATTGAAAAAACAGTGGCATAATGAGATGCAATTTAAAAACTTTCTATTAGAGTGTGTTAAAACAATGATCTTCATATATACCTCAAAACTGTAATAAATGATCATTGCCACTTAAAATATCTAAATACAACAGTCTCCATTGACTTCACTTAGGCGTTGATAAAACTTTTTACTCAAAACCTCCTACTGAGGCAGAAATAATAAAGAACACAATGAAAGTTTATGTCTGCTACCTCTGTAGCCCACTGGAAGTACCAATGTAAATTTAAAAAAAGAGGAGACTTTCAGTTAAATATATTTGCATTTCTCCAGCTAAATTTGAGGTTGTATGACTGTGAATCCCTTAGAGTAAACCTGATAAAAATAGCAATACCACCAACAAAATCCACTCACCGGGCATTCAATTTATTCTTTCATTTACCTGACAAAAGATCAGTACAGTCACAGTTGACAGATTTATTATGCAATATTTAGAAAAAGCATTGGCTGGGGGGCAGCCTTAGCATTTTAATATTGACACCAAGCAGAATAATCATTTGTTTTAATGACAGTTAAACACAACTGTTTAAGAGCAGGAGTTTTGAAAATCAGAGAATCTGTGTTGAAATTCCAAATCTACTTACTAACTGTGGAACCTGAAGCAAGTGACTTAAGCTTTCTGAGCCTCAGTTTGTCATATATATAATGGATTTCTAGTAAGTATCTCACAGAGTGGAAAAGATTAAATGAGCTAATAAATATAAAACATCAAACATCACTGGAACACAGTAAGTAGAAATCAATAAATGATGAAAACTATTATTAGATTATTAATAGGGCCCATCAGAATACAGAACCATATTTGAAGTAATGGTTCTTAATTTTATACCAGTGCTAATTCCAACAGTCTCTTACATCCCACAATTTAGAAAGATTTTATGTTTTAATAGTCACATTTTAGTCACTAAATGACTTCAATTAAAATAAAGGAAAAACACATTTTCCTTCAATTAAAAAAAGTACATACTTAAAATTATTATTCTTTTATGTAAAAACTTACCATGACAACACCACCAACGTATTCAAAAGCACAATGAGCTATACAGCCATACTGAATAGTATAGCCAACAAGTCGAAAGGTTTTTCCCAGAACACCGCGGAGCATAGTTCTATGCAGACTCTGCTACCATTGGCCTGATGGTAAATTTAAAAAAGTTTCATAATCAATACTATTTAAAACACTTAAGAAATAGCTCAACTGTAAAATATTTACAATCACCCAGAATGAGAGTAAATGCCTAATACAGTTTGGTGCAGAAAAGCAAGAGCTTATTTTCATTTGTCTTAATGATATTTTTTTTTTTTTTTTTAAAGATTTTATTTATTTGCGAGAGAGAGAATGAGAGACAGAGAGCATGAGAGGGAGGAGAGTCAGAGGGAGAAGCAGACTCCCTGCTGAGCAGGGAGCCCGATGCGGGACTCGATCCCGGGACTCCAGGATCATGACCTGAGCCAAAGGCAGTCGCTTAACCGACTGAGCCACCCAGGCGCCCTTAATGATATTTTAAATGGCAAATTAAAGCCACTTAATATTTTGATCTGAACAGAGATTATATTCAGGTAATATCACTGGGTTTACATATAAATTAGATAACTAGTAGACTCTGATTTTATCTGTCTCCTTTCATGCTTTGATTTTTTTCTTGGTATTAATATAGATACCTAAGAAAAGATATTAACTCAAAGTAGTAATAATAGTTTTTCATACTGTTGCCTGCTATACTATATCAGTTCTTGCCATAATATGACATAAAAGAGAAAGCACTAGAATAGGTATATGGAAATTCAAGTATTAAATTGATACTTTCATTAACTTGTATGATCTTCAATGACTTACTTAACCTCTCTTGGCCTGGAAATAATATCTTATTGAATGGTTCTGAGAATAAAATTCAGTAACATGTCAAAGTGCTTTGTAAATTACACAGTTACATTCAGTTGTCAGTTATTGACTACTGATACAGTAATGAACACATTAATACTATGAAACAACATAAAGAACCATATAAAGATTTTTTTAAAGCTACCTAAAAAGTTAATATTATTCATCTAAAATATTCCTAGTAATCTGTCTCTTCCCTTTCCATTTATCTGTTACAACTATGTTTCAAGAATTTCTCAACTAATGGCCTAACGTATAGGCCTAGGCTACTATGCACTGTTCTCAGATTAAATTTACTGAAACAAATCAATAATAGTAATATGATGTAACATTTGCTCAATACTTGCTATATACCAGGCTTTACAAATTAACCTCTGCAGATATTATCATCCTCATTTTATAGATAAGAAAAAGGAGCCTAAGAATAGTAAACTTCCGTACTCAACATCACAAAGTTGGAAAAGGATTATGTTACACTGACTCCTGTATTACTCCCCTCCTCCCACAAACTCAGTGGCTCTCTCCTGGATGAAGTACAGATTAGACTCATTTTCAGGATCCATGAGAGATGGCTCCCATCCCATCCTCAGTTTCCAAGCTGATCTTCCCTGATACTCCTACATGACCTGACTACTCAATAATACTGGTTTGTTCTTCAGGTAAATTTTGCCAGCAAACACTTATTTATGCCAACACCCATGCTTGGAATAGTCTTCATGATATCCATCATCTATCTAATTTGTAACTCTTCTCCAAATGCTCTCAATAGGCAAGATTTTCTTTCTCTTCTGGGTTCCCATGGATCTTAATGTTCATTTTTTAAAAATATATAGCATTGAGAGCACTTTTTCTAAAAAGTTGACCTGCCTGAATTTAGAACCTGGATCCACCATATTTTAGCTGTGTGACTTCCAGGAAGTTATTATGCCTCAGTGAGTCTCAGTGTCTTTATCTGTAAAATGGACTTAATACCGGGCACCTGGGTGGCTCAGTCGTTAAGCGTCTGCCTTCGGCTCAGGTCATGATCCCAGGGTCCTGGGATCGAGTCCCACATCGGGCTCCCTGCTCGGCGGGAAGCCTGCTTCTCGCTCTCCCACTCCCCCTGCTTGTGTTCCTGCTCTCGCTATCTCTCTCTGTCAGACAAGTAAATAAAATCTTTAAAAAAAAAAAAAATGGACTTAATACCTATCTAAAAGAGTTAGGACTATAGGCAGACATGTAATCTGTGTTACAGAGTATTTCAATAAATGCTAGTTATTGTATCATTCACTTAGCAATTCACATATGCTTTATAACCTCATAATATTAGTTGCATTTTCAATTATCTAAGTTTCTTGCTAACTGATCTTTAAATAATAGAATTTTACAGCCTGCAGCATAGGACTATATCTTTTATATGTGTTATATTATTAGTGTTCATTCACCTATTAAACATTTACTATGTCTCCTCCTCTAACAAGTCTTCCTTGGCACCCTCCCAAGAAATGTTACTTATGCTTTGTGTCACTCACCTTCCTTACGCATACACTGATTATAATGCTTACCACACTATATTGTTTATATTTTTTTCCCTTATTACACTACATTTGTTTATATGTCTGTGGGCAGTGACTGTGCTAATCATCTTTGAATCTGCAGGGCCTACCAAAGAAGACAGTAAACAGAAGGCTTATCTGAGGAAATCAACGAATGAATTTTGAACCCAATCTCCTATGCCTTCCATATCTTCATTATTATAGAATGGTTATAATGTTCAAAATGATGAGAAGACAGCTGAGACTTTTGGTTAATGAAGAGACATGTTAATGTCATATTCACTGACAAAAGAAATTGTCAGTAACATATTAAAAAGTTTTCTCATTAAATCATTCAGGTAATACGAAAAATAACTCCTCCCATCAGGAGGAATGAGAAATTTGGTTTAGTTATAACTGTTGTATTTTAAAAATTAGTAATTTTTGGAGCTCAAAAAATAAAAAGTGCTATTTAAAAATAAAAACACTTTATAATTGAAACTATTAATTCAAACAGACTTAAGAGGAAAACTGAAATAATAACAGAGTAAATTTTATCTATAAAGTTAATTAGGTTGCCTAGGAACTACTTTGCTCTAACTTTCTCTAAATTAGGGAAAAGTGGGATAAGTCCTATAGCTTAGCTCTGAAAATGTGATCTATGATAATAAATCCTAAAAGTAGTGCAATGGATATTACATTTTAAAACTAAAATAAAAATGGGCTTACATTAGAGAGGAGATAATATTATTAAACAAGAGGAAACATATGGCACTTACCAAGAAGCTATTGCTAATATAGGTGAAAGGTGAAATTAGAGGTTAAATCACTTAGCAATCTACCAAAATTTAAAACATTTGGATTATGCAATAGAAGCCACTTGGTTAAAAAACATACTCAAAAATACAAAGATGCTGTAACTATACAATGGTTCTGAATCACTGAGAAGGCTTGTTATTCACTCCCATTCAGAAGTAATTGGGGCCATAAAGCCTTTTTTTATGACACAGTTAATGCCCAACTCCAAATACAATGTTTGTAATGAAACAGTCTCATAAAATATCAGAAGAAAGAAGTTAACAGACACTGTTTCTTCCTGACAGATATTGGCAACACGATAGAGTGTGAAGTATCTAAAATTACTTTGGATATTAGTCTCTTAAGGGGGAAAAGAGAGCTATAGAGAGAAATCTGAGGATAAAGGCTATTTGGCCCTGTATTTTAAAAGTGCATTGAGAAGCACTGTTGAGAAGTATTGAAAACTGAGAATCAGAGCCCATGGATTTTTTTTTTTAAGAGTAATCTTAAAAAAGGGCGCCTGGGTGCTCAGTCGCTAAGCATCTGCCTTCAGCTCAGGTCAGGATCCCAGAGTCCTGGCATTGAGCCCCACATCCGGCTCCCTGCTCAGCGGGAAGCCTGCTTCTCCCTCTCCCATTCCCCCTGCTTGTGTTCCCTCTCTCGCTGTGTCTCTCTCTGTCAAATAAATAAATAAAATCTTTTTAAAAAAAGAGTAATCTCAGAGTGGAAAGTAGCATTCATATAAAACACAAATAAGCCACACACTGCTGGCACTTAGTAGCCTTACTAGGAAAAAAGATTAAGACAGAGGTTATAAACCCCTGGTTTACGTAGTTATTTCAAAGGTCCATGAATCTATATGTGCATATATGCACTGGATAACTTCTGCTTGTCCCTTCAGATTTACTCTCTGCCCTTCTCCATACTACTCTCTGCCCGAGGAAAACTGACCTATATGAAATACATCAAGGCACTCCTGTACTCTTTAATTCAACTCCAGCAGGAAGTCAAAGGAAGGAAGAGTTATGTATTTTCCTGGTTCCTTTCCTGTGGACTCTTCTTAGGCTCACTATGTCTTTGCCAAAGGCAGTCTGCTGTGCAGTAATTGCTCTTTTAGGTTCCTATAACCCTTCCTTTCCCTGGTCCCTTCGAGTTTAGGAATGAAAACAGATTTACTGATGCTAGATCCTGTTCCAACCCTGGTGATTCTCCAGTATCTTCTGCACACCTCTGTAATTAGCTTCTGTAAATAAACCTTCCTTAAATTATCCTATTTTGAGTGTGTCAGCTGTTTCCCATAGGCACCCTGATGATATACTACTTGCTAAAAAACAACTCATCATGTAGAAGTTTACAATATTTGATATTGATGAAGTAATTCTCATAAACAGGCATTTGCAACACTGCTGATGGTTGTGCAAAACAGACAACCCCTAAGAAGAGGAATGTGGCTATTGTAATGACATATACATTTTACTTTCTGACCCAACAATCCCCACTTTTAGGAATTATCCAAAAAAATACAGCGCCAAGATTCAAAAACATCATGTGCACAAGATTCTTTATATTAGCATTATCGGAAATAGCAAAATCAGAAACAAGTCAAATATACATCCATAGAAAACAGGTTAACTAAATTACGGCATATCCACACAAAGGAGTTCTATACACGCATGGGCAGGGAAAAGAGTTCTATGAGCTGATATGAAATGATTTCTAGGTAAACTACTTAAAAAAAAAAGGTGCAAAATAGTAACATCATTTCTGGGACAAAGGAAAGAGAATATATATATATATATATATATATATTTGTTTTGTTCGTTTGTTTTCAAAAAGAAAATAACCCAGGGGCAGCTGGCTCAGTAAGTTAAGCATCTGCCTTCCGCTCAGGTCATTGATCCCAGGCCCTTGGAATGGAGCTCCGAATCAGGCTCCCTGCT